ATGAGCAATGGTGCAGTTACTAGGGCCACGTGTTCTGGAGTCAGGCGAACTTGGGCTTGAACCCTGGCTCCACTGTTCACTTAGCACACAATCCTGAATCACTCACCAACCTCTCCAGGTTTCAGTTTTTGAAAAAAACAAAATGCCCACCCACAGGGAAATGAGTGAATAGAGTGTAACAGGTGGACCCACACTGTTCATTCATATTAAATTAAGAATCTAGATTTCCCATGGAGTATCTTCAATGAAAAAACAAGATTCAGGAAAAAAATATAAAGACTATGATTCCGTTCTTGTGAAACATAATGACTCCAAAACCCATAAATGTAAGAGTGTGATTGTCCAAATAGGGTCATACAAGTGTAAGCAAAATATGGAAAGAAATACGGAAGACTCTTAGCATGGGCTACACAAGATTACAGGGGATTATGGAGGAATTCAACCGAAGGGAGAATCAGAAAGATGGCAAGGCTGGTGTGGGCGGAAATCAAGCTAAAAGAAAAGGGAAAAAACTTTAAAAATATTTTTGTTTTGTTGATCCTCACCTGAGGATATTTTTTCCATTGCTTTTCAGAGAGAGTGGAAGGTAAAGAGGATGGGGGGAAGAGAGAAACATTGATGTGAGAGTCACATGAACTGGTTGCCTCTCACATGCGCCCCGACCCCCATCAGGGGCAGACAGCAAACCCACACCCAAGTATGTGACCTTGACCAGGAATCAAACCTAAGACCCTCCAGTACTTGGGCCGACGCTCTAACCACTGAAAAGCCCCAACCAGGGCAGGAAAAAAATAAAATATATAAATAAAATAAAAATATACATATATGCTATTTTATTCTTTAAAATATATACTTTTTATTTCAAGAATACGTATGCTCATTTATAAATTTATGGGTATGTGTGGATAAATATAAATTTTTAAGAGTCAGTCATGGTTTCTCCAGCTATCAAACAAGAACAGTACGCCTGCCCTGAGGTCGTCGTGAGTGCTGAATAAATTAAGGCACGTCAGGCAGGGCAGGGCCCGATACCTGGGAACACTGCCTTATTCCCCTCCTCTTTGAAAAGCCCTAATAAATGGTCAAGTGATTCTGCCCACTCTGTCACCTGCAGCTTCCCAACCACCAAGTGATTTTCAAAGCCACTTCCAGAACCTGCCTTCCATGGTGGCCCTGCCTCTGAATAACCCTCCGTCAGCAGGCCTAGCTTGGATGGTATGACTACGAGCCCCACAGTAACGGGAGGAACTGGACAGAGGTCTCTTGGTGACGAGGGGCCCTCAGGTGAGGAAACTACATGCACCTCCTCCTCGGCTGTTTTGACAAATTACTGGACTTGTTTCTAAGAAGGAAATAGACAGGGCCCCTCTCACGGTTTAGAGAACAGCCATGGCTCTGGCAAGAGTGCGGTGCCTTTGTGTCATCAGGGATGAGTGTGTCTCTTCATGAACTGCCCGCATCACCATGTCCTCTTCTCACCTCCCTCCAGCCTCCGCGTGCCCACCCAGGTGGGGGAGGAATGACCTGTTAATGAATTCCCCTCCCCTGTGTCACCTTCCAGTTCGAGGATCAACACCAGAGGCGTGTGGAATTCTTCGCTGGGCTGCTCCTCTATAATTCTGTTCAAGGCAGAACTGCATAAAAGCCGATCCCCTCGAGCCTGACAGAATTCTTCTGGACCTCGACTCTACTTCACAAAGAAACTACTTCTAACAGGAAGTGCCTGGGAGGGTGACTTCCTCTAGGTCAGCGGTTCTCACTGGGGAGACTGCCCTCCACGTGGACCCTGGCAACGTCCGCACACACTGTGGTTGTCAGACTGCAGAGGGCGCTGCTGGCACCTACAGGGCAGAGCCCATAACGAAGAATTATGCAGCCCAAAATGTCAGCGATGCCATGTGGGAAAGGTATTCTCCATCACCGCATTTTCAATAAAGGTGAGGTCAACAGTGGCAAAAACTGGCTCTATTGGTTTAAAAAATCTCAGATTTTTCCTTATAGTGTATAAATGTGTATTCAATCAACAGACAGATATACAGAATTAAAATCTTCAAGGGATGAGGGGGGTGATTAAGAAAAAATTGTTGGAAAAGGCTCCTAAAGAAACAAGAATAGAAAAAAAGATGGAGACACTACGTTGGGTAACAATGACGCGGGTCAAGCAGGGAGAGGGGCACACAGTCCTCGAGGAGCCCCCGGAGCCCATCGCCTCCGTACCGTGCTTATTCAGGTCCCAGATGCGCAGAGTCTTGTCCCGAGACGCAGAGACCAAAATCAAACTGCCGCTGGGTGTGAAGCTCAGGTCTCTCACAACATCCTGGTGGCCGGAAAGATTCAAAAGCAGGAGCCCTAGCGGGGCAGCAGGAGCACTCAGTCAGTGGGAGAGATGGCCCCTGGTCTGCCCGTCACAGCGGCACCCCTCAGCCGACTGGGGGGCTAGCGCCCCTCAAGCCCCTGATGAGGACATGCACACGAGCCCCCAGGACCACAAGGTCCAGCCAGAAACGACCTACCTGTCTGCACCTCCCAGATCTTGATCTGCCCATCATTGAGCCCCGTAGCGAGGATCAGGCAGGAGGCGTCTGGCCCTGGGGGATGGTGGCGGGCCCAGAGCTTCCTGCTGGGTGGGGAAGGCCACGGGCTGAAGGCCAAACCCCACACAATCTGCCCACAGTCCAGAGTCTTCTCCTTCGGGCTGCCTCGCCCTTTTGTATCATTTTTGCTGCTTCGGCTTTTGGCTTCAAACCCTTTAGGGATGCTGGGGAGGGAGAGAGTTCTTAATGAGTACCAAACTGTCACCAAGTGAACCCCCCCTTTTCATCCTGGGTATCTAAGACTTGAAAGTCCTGGCAACAAGCTGGGCTTCGGTGCATTCTGGTGTGACTTTTCTTTTTCGAATTCGTGTAACAGAGGCTTCCCTGGCCTTGGCTCATCCCATCTGGGACAGCCCTGCAACGGGGGCCTGCCTGCGGGAGCAAGTCCTCTGGGGTGTGGTGGGAAAGGAAAGGCGCACTCAGCGTTTCCCACGGGAAAGCAAGCACGCGGCAGGTCTGCAGCTAGGACAGAACTGAGCGCCTCGCTAGCCATCCGCAGCTCTCCTGCCTGAGGAGCCTCCCATCTCTAGCTTAGAAACTCCCAAGCAGCAGCGAATATACCCTTTTCCTGCCCACACTTGGCTTGGTACACACTGATTTCTGCCTGCACTCGCTACGTTCCAACCAATAAGGCTCTTTCATTTACTTCCAACCAGCAGGATAGCCCACAGAGAGAAAGAACCCACAGAACCACTCAGGGGTGCACTGAGCAACTGGAGCCTCTTCCTTTAACATTCGGTCCCTAACTACTGGGCCCTCCACCACTCGCCTGGCAGCCAGTATCTCAAAGGCATGAGCAGTTAGACAGCCGGCGTTTCAGCCAGGACACCTGACGTTTCCTGCCGGTGACGCACTTGATCAGTGTGAGCATGAGGTCCTGCTTTCCTACATGACCCTGACCACACCCTGGGGTATATCAAACTAGGGGAAATGGAGATGACAAAGCTGGAACTGAGTTCCATGAGAAATCCTAGATCACAAATATGTAGCGAGACCTTTTTAGGTACTACATTTGTCCCCAAAAGGAAGGAAATCACATGTTTGTCAGTTGTGTGGTTGAAATAGACTAAAAACATTTAACCAAGCTCACCTATAAGCTAGGAGGGATGGAAGCAATGTAGCCTCCTTTGGCTCTAAAGCTCTATTAATCTAAATCAGAGGTCGGCAAGCTCTGCCTAGGCCAGCAGCCTGTTTTTATAAATAAAGTTTTAGTGGAATACCACCACGCTCATGTGCTCACCTGTTTTCTATGGGTGTTTGATGCTGTAACAGCCTAGCTGAGTGCCGTTGACAGACATATGGCCTACAAAACCGAAACTATTTACTATCTGGGCCTTTACAGAAAAAAATTGCTGACCCCTGGTCTAAATGGCCCAATATAGTCTGAGATTTTGTTATTCTGACAAAACATGTGGAGGTGATAATGAGTATCTTGAAGATTGGGCCTGCCCAACCCACACATGGCCCCACACACATCGCAGACCTGCCTGGCCCTGACGCAGGAGCCTGAGTTTGCCATCCAGGGAAAAAGCACGTAAAAGGCAGGCTATGGAAAAACTTCACAGGACGGCGTGACCTTCCAAAGTTATATTGGTTTTGTTTTTTATAAAATCCTAATTTCTGTATTTGAATTAAGGGATGCTTTTATAGCTACTTTATTCCAAAGAAATTAAGGCACATTAATATGTTAAATCATTTTAATATCATACATTTAATTTCTCTAGAAAGATACTAAAATCTCCACCTTAGGGGTAGAATTGACTTTCCTGTGGTCCCCAAATCAGGGGCAGATCTGGAACCAGAACATAAGTAAGTCTTGGGTATCCTAGCTTACTGCTCAACGGATCCCCTGGACTTCTGAGTTTGTCAATGAATCAAGGGATGAGCTACATGGGAGGTGGGGAGGTGCAGCTTGAAAAGGGGTAACTAGGGGCAAGATAGGTTCATTGGGAGAACTTAACTTCACTGAAATTAAGGTTTCTAAAAAAGTTTATTTCTAAAAGTATTACAACTATTTGGTTAGTATCAATTACTTGCTCCATATCAAAAGCACACAGGACATTTTAAAATGTGTAACAATCCTGGGCCTGCCCAGCGTGGTTCAGTGGTTGAGCTTGACCTAAGAACCAAGAAATCAAGGTTCAATTCCCATCAGAGCACATGCCCAGGTTGTGGGTTCAATCCCCAGTAGGGGGCGTGCAGGAGGCAGCCTAGCAATGATTCTCTCTCATCATTGATGTTCCTATATCTCTCTCCCCCTCCTCCCTTCCTCTCTGAAATCAATAAAATATTTTTTAAAAAGGTGTAACAATCCTAAGAAGATCATAAATGCCCCAGACTCCTTTTTTAAAGGACTTAAAAATTATTTTGAGTTATAAAAATAACAGAAATGTGGAGAAAATTTGGAAGTGAGGCTATTAATAGTTAATATGGGAAGCCTATATTTACCTGTAATACTGTATATATTTAAGTACAAAAATCACTTTTAGGGAAAAAAAACCACATATTTCATTTTATGCTTTTAAAAAAATCCTCATCTGAGGATATGTTTACTGATTTTAGAGAAAGGAACTGAGAGAGAGAAAGAGAGAAACACCGATTGGTTGCACCCAACTAGGGACCAAACCTACAATCTAGGTATGTGCCCTGACCAGGAATCATCCACAACCTTTTTGGTGTACAGAACGACGTTCCAGCCAACTGAGCCACCAGGCCAGGGCCATTTTATGCTTTTAAAAACTTTTTCAGACTATAGATTTCTATCAGACTTAATTCTGGATGTGAACTTTAGTCCCCTGTACTTAGAGTGAGTGGATCAATAAACAATGAATGGCCCTATCCAGTCTGGCTCAATGGATAGAGCCTGCGAACTGAAGGGTCCCGGGTTCGATTCTGGTCAAGGGCACATGCCTGGGTTGTGGGCTGCATCCCCAGTAGAGGGCGTGCAGGAGGCAGCCGATCAATGATTCTCTCTCATTACAGACATTTCAATCTCTGTTTCCCTCTCCCTTTCTCTCTGAAATCAATAAAAATATATTTAAAAAACAACATCAACAACAATAAATGACCTTGGCATTATTTAACTGACTATAGAAGGAACCGAAAATCACAACTAAAAAACAACAACAACAACACCACACACACGGAAAACTACAAGACATTGAAAAAAGAGATAGAGGAAGATATACACAAGGGGAAGAATATGCCATGTTCATGGATTGGTAGAATCAACATCATTAAAATGTCCATATTACCCAAGACAATCTACAGATTCAAGGCAATCCCTATTAAAATACCAAGAGCATATTTCACAGAGCTAGAACTATTCCAAAAATGTATATACAATCAAAAAAGACCCCGAATAGCTGCAGCAATCTTAAGAAAGAAAAACAAAGTTGGAGGAATCACAATACCAGATTTCAAGTTATATTACAAAGCCACCTAACTCAAAACAGCCTGATACTGGCATAAGAACAGATATATAGACCAATGGAACAGAACAGAGAACCCAGCAATTGACCCAAGTCATTATGCTCAATTTATATTTGACAAAGGAGTCAAGGTAGTCTCTTCAATAAATGGTGTTGGGAAAACTGGACAGATATATGCAAAAAAATGAAATTAGACCACCAACTTACACCATACACCAAAATAAACTTAAAATGGATAAAAGACTTAAATGTAAGACATGAAGCCATAAAAATCCTAGAAGAAAACACTGGCAGCAAATCTCAGACATCTTGTAGCAATATGTTTACGGATACATCTCCTAGGACAATGGAAATTAAGGGGAAAATAAACAAATGGGACTACATCAAAATAAATAGCCTCTGCACAACAAAAGAAACCATCTATAAAATAACAAGAGTGTCCACCCCATGGGAGAACATATTTGGGTTAA